GGAAGCCCCAGGTTTCTTTGTTAACATATGATGTCTAATTATTTCAGTACCTTCTGCTGAAATGACTATCTTTTCTCTGTTAGATGACCTCTGCACCTTTGTTGAACACCTCTTGTCATAAATGCAAGGACTGAGTTCTAAACTCTAGTCTCGTCCTTTAATTTATCTATCTTTAAGCCAACACTGTCCTATCTTATCTGCTATAGCTTTATAAGGCTTGGAATCAGGTAGTATAAGTCTCTCAACTTCCTTCTTCATCATTGTTTGGAATTTCCCTCGTCCTTTGTATCTTTTTAGGAATTTTAGAATCATCTTGTCAAAGTCTTTTTAAAAAACTGGGTGGTTTTGCTGGAAATTGCATTGAACCTACAGATCAATATGGGGAAGAATCAACACCTTAACAATACAGTCTTGAAACCCATGACTGTGAAAATGAGCAGGACCCTGTGGGGGCTTCAGGCACAGACTCCCTCTGGGTCCCACACCTCTTGTACATAGAAAGGCTTCAGCCTCCTAGGCCTTCCCTGAGTTCCGAAGAGCAAATTTAATCAGAGAAGTGAGAAAATGCAGAAACAAAGGCAAGGAGTCAAGCAAGGCAAATAATGAGAGCCAAAGTCAAGGTTCCTCCTCAGTGGCTACGGGAAATACTATGAGCCATATCCTCGAGTTGATCTGCAGGTGGAAGAAGTTAACTGCAAGCTGACTACCAGCATGGAGACCCCAGACTGGCTGGAACTGGATGGTTGATGGTTGAGATTCCCGACCCTTCACCAGCAACCCATCAGAGAATTGTGCACGCCCTGTGACGCCCCCGCCTCCCCACACTGTCTATAAAATCCCTTCCCTGAAAGCTGTGGGGGAGTTTGTGCCTTTTGAGCATGAGCTGAGCTGCCCGTTCTCCTTGGTTGACCTTGCGATGAATCGCACTTTTCTTCATCACAACCCAGGGTCAGAAGATTGGCTTTGCTGCACGTTGGGTGAGTGGATCCAGGTTTGGCTTGGTAACAAACACGACATGACTCTGCATGCATTTAGGTCTTTTTAGATCTCTCAGGGATATTTTATAGTTTTTTTGGGTACATGTCTCACACACATTCTGTTAAATTTACCTCTAAATAATTCATGCTTTTTAAAATTATATTTATAAATTGTATTGTTCTTACACCTTCTCTAAATAATTCATGGTTTTTTATTCTGTTTTTAAATTATATTGTTCTTACAATTTCAACTTCTAATTGTCCACTTTTAGGACACAGAGATAGGATTTTTATATTTTGGCTTTATATCCTGTGACTTTGCCAAACTCACTTGTTAGTTCTAGGAGTATCATGTAGTTTAATCTACAGACAAAAATGTCATCTGTGGATCAAGATTGTTTCAATTTTCCCTTTCCAGTTATATAAAAATATTTTCTTGCTTTATTACATTGGCGATGTCCTCTAGGAAAGCGGTGATGCGTGTGTGCTGTCTCTTTAGTCGTGTCTGACTCTTTGCGACCCTATGGATTGTAGCCCACCAGGCTTCTCTGTGCGTGGGATTCCCCAGGCAAGGATAGCGGAGTGGGTTGCCGTGCCCTCCTCGCAGCCGCCTTCCTGGCTCAGGGATGGAACCCACATCTCCTAAGTCCCTTGCATCGCCAGGAGAGCGCTTTACCACTAGCGCCACCTGGTGGCAGTGGATGTTTTTGCCTCATTCCCACCCACTCACCGCCAAGCGTGATGTCACTGAGTTTTTCTAGATCCCCTTTATCAGTTGAAGTGAAAGTCGCTCAGTCGTATCCAACTCTTTGTGACCCCCATGGACTATACAGTCCATGGAATTCTCCAGGCCAGAATACTGGAGTGGGTATTTTTCCCTTCTCCAGGGGATCTTCCCAACCCATGGATCAAACCGGGGTCCCCCGCATTGCAGGCGGAGTCTTTACCAACTGAGCTATCAGGGATGCCCTTGTCAGTTGAAGGAGCTCCTTCTAGTCCTAGTTTACTGATGTGTGTGTGTGTTTAAACCATAAATGGGCGTTGACTTTTGCCAAATGCCTTAATTTTTTGGCATTTATTGAAATGATTTTGTGGTTTTCTGTTCCAGACCACTCACATTGTGAACTACATCCGTCAATTCTGAAATGTTATAGTAACTTACATTCTTGGAATTAGCCCTGCTTGGTCATATGTGTTGTCCTTTTGTAAAAAAAATTATCTAATTTTGGCTGTGCTGGGTCTTCGTGGCTGCACATGAGCTTTCTCTAGCTGTGGCACGCGGGCTTTTCACTGTGATGGCTTCTCTTGCTGTGGAGCACAGGCTCCAGAGCGCTCAGGTTTTAGTAGTTGCATCACATGGGCTCAGTAGTCACAGCTCCTGGTCTCGAGAGCGCAGGCTCAGAAGTTGTGGCACAGGAATTTAGTTGCTCCGAGACATGTGGGATCTTCTAGGATCAGGGATCAAATCTATGTCTCCTGCATTGGCAAGGGGATTCTTTACCACTGAGCCACCAGGGAAGCCCTTGTATTCTTCTTTTAATATTCCGTTAAGTACTTTTGTCTGGTCTCATGAGGTGTAGTGGACTTAAATTTCCTTTTCATGTCATGTCCTCTCTCGACTTGCTACCAGGGTTAAGATGGTCTCACAAAAGAGTTCCCTCCTCCTCTGTGTTCTGAAAGCACTCTGCAGTGACCGTGTTATTTCTCCTTTAAAGGTTTGCTGAGATCCTCCAGTGAGGCCTCTCACCTGGACTTACTCTGCATCAAGGCCAATGCTGGGCCAGGCAGATGGAAGCCCGGCCACGAGGGGCCAGGCACAAAGATGGTTCTGTGCTGTGTTGAGTTTGAGAGTTTGTGCAACCGATACCAGGAGAGATGCAGGAGGGAGGCTGCCCTGTGGCCCTGGAGTGAGGCTGGAGCTGGCAAGGGTGCTTCAGAAATGTGCTAGAAGTGGACATGGAGCATATGGAGAGGCAAGCAGAGGGGTACCCCATGGGGCCCCGAGAAATGATGTCGGGTGTGGGCTGCACGGACACAGAAGACTGAGAAGCGGCCAGAGAGGGAAGGCCCCAGGGGCACAGGGTGCAGTGTGGGTGGGGACTAGGAATCTTGAAAGCCAGGCGCTTTAGCCCCAGAGTATCCAGATAAGAATGGTTAGCTGGCCAGTGCTGCTGAGGGCACAAGAAGGATGAGTCTGGTGTGTCCTGCAGGCTGGGGAAAGCAGGGGACCGCAGCAGGCACGGCTCCAGCAGAGGACGACAGGGAGGCCACAGGCTGTGTCCCTTTCCTGGCAGGGGCCCCTCCCCCAGGTGCCTGGGCATGCCGCCTGAATCTTGCCCACCCTGACCAGATGACTCCTGTTGTGCCTTCAGCCCCTGGAGTCTCCCGTCCAAAGTCCCCAACTCTCCGTATACCCAGTTAAATCTGTGCCCACCCCTCAAGCCTGGAGCTGTCCTATTTTGTGGGGTGAGGCCCTGCACATCTTTGGAGAACCCAGCACCTGCCACCTGAAGACTCAGTCTGCAACCTTTTAAGAAACAAGCAGGAAGCAAGGGGGGACCTGCAAGGGCGGAGGGCTGGGGTTTGGAGGGCTTTCTCCCTTTCCTGAGTGGAGAGAGGGGAGAAAACGCAAGCCAGCCCTCCCAGGGCGGGTGCTGGGACAATCTGCGGGTTCCCTGAGCTGACACAGCCCTCTGACACAGCCAGCTGACACAGGCTGGGCCAGAGCAGAGCATTACCCTGACTGGAGTGCAGGCTGGGGCTGAGGCCCCGGAGCCCGCAGAAAACCTGCCGGAGAAACGTGGCCACCCAGGACTTGGCGGCAGATCGGAGCCACAGCAGGGCACGCAGCCGCTCAGAGGTTGCGGGGTCCGCACAGGCACGCTTGGCACTCCCTGCTCCCGGCCCTCACCCCTCTTGCCCCGCCCCCATAGCCCCCCACCCCCGCCTCTGGGCCCTGGCTCAGACAACACGGGTGTTTTCCGCAAGAAACACCGGGCCCCCAGGTCAGGCTTCCCTCTGCAGGGTAGGCCAGCACAGAGGCCTGCTGTGTGGCCTTGGATGAGTGCTTGACTCCGCTGTGCTGGTCACCGTCGTGTGCCCGAGAAAACGGAGCGGAGCAGCGCAGTGTCCCGGGCACTGCCTCCGGGCGCGCAAGGTCACGGCTGGGCCACGCGCCACGCAGCGCCGCAGCCCCGAGAGGCGGGTGCGGAGGGGCTAGTAACGCCTTTCCACCCTGGTGGTCGCGCCCAGCAGGGACGACGCCGGGAGCCGGGGTCGCAGACCATCCACCCCAAGGCCTGCCGCCTGCCTGGTCCTGGGATGCGCTTTAAAGGCGGGCCGTCAGGCAACCGCAGCTCGACCCCTGGGCGGGGCCGGGGCGTTGGGGGCGGTGGGCGGCAGGCAGGGGGCCCGAGACGCGCAGGCCCCGCCCCCGCCCCGGCCTCGCCCCGGCCTCGCCCCGGCCCCGCCCGGACGCCGCCCCAGCCTCACCTCCCGGAGTCCAGCTCCCGGGAGCGCTGGCCTGGGCCTGGCGGACGGGGCGGGGGCGGGGCCGGCAGAGGAGGCCGCTGATTGGTCAGCGCTGCTGATTGGCCGGCGCGGGAGCCACTCGCGGCCGCCGCTGCGTCGGGCTGCGCTCGTGCGGGCTCGGCTCGGCTCGGCTCGGCTCGGCTGCGCGGCCGCGGACGGACGGACGGGTGTGCGCGGGGGGCGCGGGGCGCGGGCCTCGGCGGCGGCGGCGGCGGCGGCGAAGACGGCGGCGGAAGGCTTGTGCCCCCGCCCGCCCGGTCTTCTCGCAGAGGCGGAGGTAGCGCGCGCCGGCCGTAGCTGAGCGGGCGCAGGCGCGGGGGGCGGCGGCGCGGGGGAGGCGCGGGGTCTCGGAGCGAGCGCGGCCCGCCGGGCGCCGCCGACCCGGCCCAGCCGACGGACGGACGGACTCGCGCGGACGCGGCCCCTCCCTGCCGCCGCCCGCCCGCGCGCCCGCCCGGGGCGCCCACCTCGCCGGCGCCGGGCCCGGGAGCGATGACATCGACGGGGAAGGACGGCGGCGGGGCGCAGCACGCGCAGTATGTGGGGCCCTACCGGCTGGAGAAGACGCTGGGCAAGGGGCAGACAGGTGCGTGCGCGCCGGCCGGTGCCGGGAGGCCGGCCCGCGGCGGGGCCGGAGGGCCGGGGGCGCCGATGGGCGCCGGGGGAGCCAGGGGACCGTGAGGGCCGGGGCGCGCAGGCCCGCCGCCCGGGCGCTCCGCGCGGGGGCCGGGGAAGAAGGCCGCCCCGAGCTGGGCGCCGCAGGCCGGGCCCGCGGCTCCGGCCCGGAGCCGCGAACAATAGGAGGCCAGGCGCCCAGGCCCTCCGCGGAGTCCCGCAGGCCGCGCGGTTGCGGTCGGCCGGGCGCGGCCCAAGGACACGCGGCGCGAGCGACGGGGCCCGGGCCGGGCCAGCGCCCCTCGGCCCGGCTGCAGGTGCGCGGGCCCGGCCGCATTGTGAGCCGGAGCGGCCGGGCCCATTGTGCCGCGGGAGGAGGGGGCCGGGCGGGAGCCCATCTGCCGTCTGCCGCGGCCGCGCTAATCGGCGTGCTGCCCGAGCAGCTGCGTCCCGGGCCGCGCGCCCCCGGCCGCGACCCCAACTCCGGCGGCCGGCGCGCGGGGAGGCCGCCGCGCGCGTCCTGCGGGGACCGGCCGCTCCGGCCAGGCCGGGTCCTTCCTCACGGTGGGAGTGGGAGAGCGCCCGGGCCACTCACGGGGCTGGACAGCGCCTCTCTCTCCTCCCCGCCTCTGCTCGGAACGTCTGCGACACTGCGTTCCCCCGGGGGAGGGAGAGGGAGGCTGCTGACGGGCCCGAGCGCAGAGCCCGGCCCGGGGATCCCACACAGGCAGCGGAGCAGACCCGCGGCGAAGGGGAGGAGGGGGCTCACCGGCTGCTCCTGGCCGGCGGTCTTTCTGGCGGTTGGGTTAGACCCGGCCGGCGGCCAGTTCCCCATCTGCTTTGTGAGAGGCTGCGCTCAGCCATTTTCCTCTTGCTCCTGGATGGGCCTCTCTCGCGGCCCAGAGGTCCGATCGGCATTGCCTCCTTCCCGTCTCCCTGGGAAGTTCCTTGGACCTCCGAGGAGGGTGCGGCAGGCTCGGGGTCCAGGAGGGAGCCGCTCCAGCCAGGGACGCTGCCGGCCCTCCCCAGGGCGCCCAGGGTGGCCCAGAGGCGGAGCCTGGAGGTGGGAGGAAAGTGGGCCAAGCTCGCGGCTGGGTGGGGGTGGGGTGGGGGCTGTGATGTAACTGAGGTGGAGAGAGGGTGCCTGGGCGGGGAAGGTGGGTGCTCTCCCTCTCCTCCTGGGTGGATAGCTCTTGCCAACTGCCGAAGCACCTGGGGCCCGGGCTCTAGTGCAGGCGTTGGAAGTGGGGGCGGCGGGCCTGGGTTCAAGGAGGAGGTGGCAGACAGCCCGTGTTCAGCTGAGTTCAAAACACGCATGTTTCCTGGGAGAAGCAACCGTCGCTGGTGAGATCCTCAATGGGGGAGGGGCGTGGGGCAGCAGAATTCAGGAGACAGTGAAATAATCTAATTATCATACCAATAAAATGTTATTATAAGGAAACACCGGCCTGTAAGCGATGACAGCAGTGAATTACACGGCAGCGTTGTCTCCGTGGGTAGGGCTGGTCTCCGTACTCTTCATTGAGTTATTCTGTCGTGCGGTTAATTACAGGAGGTTTCCACTGTAATTAACAGTAATGAACACAAAAGGATGTGTGTGGTGTGTGAACAACAGGCCCCGCGATGTTTAGAAGCAGCTTCTCCAGCCCCTGTCTCAGAGTGGGATCTGCTCTCTGGGTGAGGCCCCTCTGGGGGTCTGTCTGTCCCCTGCTCCTCTTGGCCTGAGTGCTCAGAGCTGCCCCTAGAGACCCTGATGGTTGGAGTGCCAGCTTCCTGTTGGCCCGTCTCTCTGTTCCTTCTGTAGCAGGGTCACCTAGAGTTTGGTGGACACGAAGCCTCGTGGCCCGCATCCGCCAGGCCTGCTCACTTGGCCTGCAGGCTGCTCTTTGGCAGCAAATGCCCAGAAAGCTGTGACTTCCCAGGCCTATCCCTTTACTCCCGAGATAACTGCCTGACCTTATCTGGGGGCCAGGCTTCTTGCCCGGAGCTCTTGGGGAACAGTGCGCTGAGGGGGAGCAGCTCCCCCTGAGCTGTGCGGCCCCCCAGGCCCGGGGTGCGGGGGGATCCAACCCAGCCCCCCTTGTCTCATGGACACCTCCGCCCTCCCCATGCGTGGCCCGCCCTCTGCCAAGGTTCTGTAAAGGGGAGCCGAGGGTAGATGTCAGGGTGGTGGGCTGCGTGTGGTGGCTGATCCGGCCACTTTGACCCCGTGTCCGGGGGGCGGGGTTCCTGTTGGGAGGTGGGCCCGCCGCTCTCCCCTGAAACACTGCTTTTGGGGAATCAGATGTGGGGTGGGGGATGCCACAGGCGTCGGGGGCAGGTGTGGACAGAGCCACCTCCTCCGTCTGGCTTGACATCCTTCTGGTGGCTGGCAGGCTCCAGTTTGCATTTCTGTTGCGCCTCTGTAGCCACAAGTGGTTCTGTTTTGCTCGGTTGGCGTTGGGCTCCGAGAGGGGGTCCGTCACTCCTGCAGTGTTGGGCCTCCCCATCAGGGCTGCCGAGGTGGTCAGGACGTCATCTCTGCACAGCTGTCCTTAGTGGCCTGGCATTACCTCTGTAGGCAGCCTGGTGAGGGCCCTCACCCCGGCTGCACTGTGGTTCCTGGTCAGTCGGGGGACAGGGCCGTCCAGGCCCGCTGGGCCGGTGTCGTTCAGCAGGGTAGAGTCCACTCGCTTGTCCAGGAGAGGCTTCTTCAGCTGGGGGGGATGGCGGGGAGGCACCCCCAGAGGGTCCAGCAGGGACCGAGGAGGCCGGGAGGGGCTGTGCCATCTTCACTCCCCTAGGGCGCAGCAGACCCGGCGCGGGGGGCTCAGCGCCCGTCGGCCAGGAGGACCCTGAGGAGGACAGCAGGGAGGTGGGGCTCCGCGGTCCACGGGAGGAGGTGGAGTCCGCCCTTGGAAACCCCTCGTCCAGCAGGGAGGAGATGGGGGCTGAGACGGGGCTCTCGGGCGAGGGGTCCGTCCAGCTAGAGGGAAGAGGGAATCAGGGGGCCGCCCTGCTGCCCCTGGGCAGGCTCACAAGGTGGTGGGCGTGCTGGTGGGGAGAGCCCCTCCAGGCTCTCAAGGGACCCCTGGGAGAATTAACGGGGGTGCTGGCGGCAGGCAGGCTGGAGGGCACTCCTGGGGTGGGATGGGGCAGGTGAACGAGGGAGACTCAGGTGAGCTGGGAAGAAAGACAGGTGTGAGCTGGAGGGAAACAGGTGAGCTGGGAAGAGGCAGGTGTGAGCAGGAGAGACAGGTGAGCTGGAGGGAGGATTTGCAGACCCTGGGGTGACCTGTGGCTCAGAGCAGGACGGGGGTGGAGGGGCAGGCAGAGGTGGAGACGGCAGGGAGGTGTGCAGGGCTGTGTCCGCTTCAGGAGGCTGAGCAGAGGGAGGCGGCTGTGTGGCCAGTGGCCACAGCCCGTTGGCCCTGGGGATGGTCAGGGAGGGGCTGGCCCAGGAACCAGCCTGGGGCGCCATGGGGGGCTGAGGCCCGGAGGAGTGGGCGTCCTGCGTGGGTGGGCAGAGCAGGCTGGGAAGGGTGGGCCTCCACTGGCCGCACGTGGACCAGCTGTCCTGTCCGATGGTCAGCGTGGTTGGCAGGCTGCGTCACCCTTGCCTGTGGGTCCGGAGCCTCCCGCCCTGTGTCCCAGGCCAGACCCAGCCCGTCTAACCCACTCTGTAAGCTGGGAGAGGGCTCAGAATCTGAACTTGGTCCAGGACAGTGGCCCCCAGGGGCCATGGGAATGCTCACGGCGCCCTGGTTAGACGTTGGCACCCTGTCCTGGAGGAGCTGTGGGCAGAGCTGGGGGGCAGTGGGGAGCCCACACCTATGCCCCTGCCTCCCGGGGAGTTGGAAAGGCTTGGTGCCCGTCAGTGACACGGGGACAGAGGCTGCTCGGCCGTCCTCCTGAGGCATAGACCCTCCTCCAGGAAGCCGCTTGCCTAGGCTCGGAGCCAGCCCTGGGGGGCTGTGCTTGTCCACACAGGGCAGCTGTGCACAGGGTCCCTGGGGTGATAGGGGGTCTCACCTCAGAGGGGGGGCCTTTTCCCAAAGGGATGGGAGGGTCCTGTGTGGACCAAGCCCTAGGACCCTGGTCCCAGAGTGTCCCCAGCCCACCGTGGTCCCCTGGGGTCCTGAACACCTCTGGGTTTTCATGCACCCGCCCCGCCCTCTTGCCTTGTCACTGGCTGTGGTGCCAGGTTCTGCAGAGATGGGGCGGGGGGCAGAGGCCTGACCTGCTCTGGCAGAGCTGGGTGCTGCCTGCTGCCACTCCGGCCAGGGCTCATCTGCACTGTGGGGTTTGCGGTGAGCATGGGGACCAGTGGTCCCCAGCATGGTGTGGGGGGCCCACCTCTGCCCACATATGCCAGGCGTCGTCTCTGGAGCTGTCTGTCCAGGAGTGGCTTGTGGACAGGGCCAGGCCTGGCTCTTCTGGAAGCAGCCAGGCCAACACTGGCCATGGCTCTGAGGCAGATCCTCACTCAGGGCTCTGGGGGGATCCCCCGCTGGACAGGCAGCCATCCGACTGTGCTTCAGGCACAGGAGTGGAGGGTCTCAGGCTCAGCCCCGGATGGCTGGACGGTGGCCAGGGCCTCCCCGAGCCTTGCTGGTGACTGGCAGGCTGGGCTGTACGTGTTGGGGGCACGTGTGCACTGGGGCCGCCGGGGCTGGCTCCCCCACCCTGGCCTGTCCCAGGCAACCTCGACCGCTGTGGGTGGGGTGGCGAGGGCTCGGCCAGGAGACGCCAGGTCCCGGCTGTCCACTGCACCTTTCTCTGGCTGGTGCTTCCCCTGCTTTTCACTGTAGGCGCCTGTCTGTGGGGAGGCCTCTGGGCCTGCATGTGTCGGGGAGGAGAGTCTGGCGTCATGAGAGGCCGGGCAGCAGCCCCGGCCGCATCTTCTCTGCCTGCCCGTGTGCCTCGCTCGCTGCCGGCGCCTTCTGTGTGCCCGGAGCGGACAGGTCCTCCGAGGTCAGAGCCCGTGCACGG